ATTTCAAGCCATGCTCTTTTGATTTTCGATCTGCGTCCAGACCACCACTTTTCACCGCATTTTCTTGGTGTCCATTCTATTTATTATATTTCTTATTCTAGTTTCTAGTTCTCCTTTCTAGATCTAATTTCTTCGTTTTGAGAACTTGAATCACATATGACTCTATCGTTCGCCAACTCTCTGAGTTCGCTTTCATCTTTTCCACTATATTTTCGGGACTTATATGTCCAATGTGCGCTATTATCTCTTCTCTATTTGTGAGCCATCTGTTACAGTAAAAGAAGGTGTGCTCTGCGTCGTCACAGTCCCCATCACCATAAATGCGGTCGGGCAAATCCATTTTTCCCATACGGTACAGGTACTTACAAAAGTATCTATGTCCGGTCAGCATCTGAGTGAGATAGTAATTTGTGTCTCCCGATTTCCGTTTGAGCCAAGTGGTTATATTTGGTATCAATCTAGCTGTCCATCTTCCTTTCGTGCTATTGTTCCATCTTTGTTGCCACATTTCGATGGTTTGGTCCTGATCTTCTCTTGCCATTTGTTGAGTATAATCGCCGTTTGTTTTCCTGTTGTATACTCTTTGGCGCTCCTTTGCTTGAAGATCTATTGGAGTTACACCTGCTATTACAAAAACCGCTTCCGCCGAGACAGTGCGATACGCTGATGTGATACGTAGAGCCGCCCTTCTATGCACCGCTATTATTTCTTTTCTGCGCTTTTCTATGTCTAGTGTCTCTGCCCACACTTCGCTACCGTATAGAAGAATTGTGTTTACTGTTGTCATTAACAATTTCCGTTTTTCCGCGACGGGCCCTCTTGTGTTAGCCATTAGTTTGCTTAAGGCAACAGTGGCCTTCGCTGCTTTCTCTACTGCATACTTTATTTGCGCCCAAAACGTAAGTTTCCCATCTATTCTTATTCCAAGGTAATTAATCGTTTTTTGGGTCCTCAGCACATCATTATTTACTCGCATTTCTATTTCTGTATTTATATGCTTTCGAGTTAATAGTAATATCTCCGTTTTATGAGTAGCCAGCTGTAAGCCATGAGAGCTTAACCAGTCCTGTACTCTCAGCATCACTTGTGTGAGTTTCCTTTGAACTGATTGGGTATCGCGGCCGGTAATATCTGCTGCCACATCATCTGCATAAGCTACTAGAAAGGTATTTTGAGGCATTTCTATTTGCAAAATATCATCATAAGTGATGTTCCATAATTCAGGTCCCAAGATTGATCCTTGCGCTGCTCCAGCCGTTATTTGTATCGTTTTTAAACCATTTTTTGTTGAGTAGATTAATTGTCGGTTTGTTAAATAGCTTCTAATTACTCTGCTTATATAAACGGGTACTTGGAAGCGACTTTCTACCGCCTGTATGATGTCTTTCCATCTGAGACTATTAAAGGCATTTTTAATGTCTAAGGTGGCAAGAAGTACTACTGGTCTTGAGTAGTGACTACCACGTTGGGTTATTTTTGCGGCTGAAATAACCTCAGTGATGGCTCCTATTGTGGATCTTTTAGCTCTGAAACCATATTGTCTAGAGCTGAGTCCACCAGATTCTTCTACTGCGACTTTTAGTCTAGGCTTTATCAGCTTTTCATAGAGTTTTCCTGCGGTATCTAGCAAACACAGTGGTCTAAATGCTGCTGGAGTATCTCTGTTTCCCTTGCCTTTGTCGATAAGCACTAATCGCTGCCTTTTCCATATATCTGGGAAAATTCCTTCTCTAAGACATGCATTGTACATTGTCAGTAATAATTGAGGTTTATTTTCCGCAATTATTTTTAAAACTTCGTTTGGTACCCCATCCGGTCCAGGTGTTTTATTATTTTGTAGCTCTTTAGCGGCGATCGTTAGTTCTCTCTCCGTGAAGTTTTCAATATTTTCCGGTTGGACTTGAGCAACATTTTCGTCACTCCTTATATCGTGGTTTGGAAACAGGGTATTAACAATTTCGTTCATTTTCCTTTCTTCTAAATCACTTACTGCTGATTTTACTCCTAATTTCTTCATTTCTTCATGTATCCAAGGCCCCATGGATCATGATTTATGTCATTTCGAAGTTCCTTCCATTTTCTTCGTTTACTTGTGTTAATCGCTTTTTTTAGGTTTTTTTTGGCTTGGATATATTCTCTACCTTCTGCCTCACTGGTTCCATTTCGTCTAGCTCTCGTGTAGCGTCTTCGTGTGAGTAGACATGCTTTTCGCAGTTGACTTATTTCTTCTGTCCACCAGTAAGCGCCCTTTTTACCTTTCTTTTGAGTAATTTTTGGCATTGCTATCGCACATGCCTGTGTAATTCTTGTCATTGTATGTCTCACCCCTTCTTCCGCATTTGCTATATGCGTAGGGAGTGCGGCATCAATTGCTTCTAATAGGCTTCTTGTTTTTAGTTTCGCCACCTTCCATTTGTGGGTTCCTCTTGTGCTTCGATCATTACCCGAAATTGTCTCGGTCTGTATACAGTACGACAGATATTGGTGGTCACTTCCAGTGTAGTCTTCTAAGACTCTCCATTGGTTAAGCTTACTAGCTATTCTTTCCGATGTAAGTGTGATATCTGGTATAGTGCCTTGACATCCTTCTCTTCTGAAAGTTGGGGTCGTACCCGTATTTGCGACTATAAGATCTAGCCTGGCAGCCATTTCTAAAACTCGTCTTCCCCTTGAGTTTGTAGTTCCCATTCCCCATTCTATTGCCCTGAAATTAAAGTCGCCACCTACAATGAAAGAACCGTCGAGCTGTAGAATTTTATCCTCAATTGCTTCTAACTTATTTAGAAATGTTTGCATATCATCGCTGGGTGTTAAATAGCAGCTCATTACCGTCACTCCGTTACATTTTGCGTAAACATAACCGTTTCCTTTACCGCTATTAGTGACTTGTGTTTTACTGCCTCTTGGTACCCAGATTGCAGCAGTTGTTGTGTTGTCATCTATCCAGGTTCCGCTTTCCTTTTTTCTGTACTGCTCGCTTATAAGCACTAGATCGATTCTCCGTTCTATAACTATTTGCGCTAGGAGAGCGTCAGCTACTTTACTTCTGTGTATATTTGCTTGAAGTACTTTAATTAATATCCTATTTTCTTGTGTGCCGAGCATCTAGTTGATCCAGGAATGTGATTTATTGCTGTGAGCCCTTCATTAAGGCATAGACAGCATTTCGGTGGTTTTGTGCATTCTTTGAACTTATGCCCTTTCTCCCCGCAACGTATGCACAATCCTTGTCCTTTTCTGTCTCGACCAGTGCAATTTGCTTGTACGTGGCCAACCCCAAAACATTTGAAACATCGTTTCACGTCGGCTCGTAACTTTACGCGACAAATTGTCCATCCTACTTTTATGCGAGATTTTTGCAATATACTCTTTACGTCAGTAATTGCCATTTTCACAAAAGCGCGGCATTGTTCTCTACTATTCGCTTTAGTGACGTGTAACTTCATCTCAGCTGTTGAATTTTGGGTTGGTGAACGGATAGCGGTGATGACCTCTTCTTCATCGGTTAGACAATCCAAGTCGCGGATCTCAATTTTACCGTCGCTATTTCTTTCAGTGTTTCTTTTATGGATTCGCAAAACTCCGCTTTCTTTCCGCCTTTTGCGACTTCAAGCAACACTGCCCCAGCAGTAGTCTTGCGAATGGAGTGGATTGCAATTTCCGTTTTCTCTAATTTTACGTTGTTCTTTAACGACTTAAGAATATCTGCGTAACTTCTGCCTTCTACTGGCTTTATGAGTACCGCTTCAGGTTTATCTTTAGGCGCTCTGCGCTTAATCCTTGACTTTTTTCCTTCCGCTCCTTTCTTTGGCGGAATTTCTACATTGTCCGACATTTTATTATTTTCTTGGGCGTTTATTGCCCTCCTTCTAGTAGCGATTTGCCACTTAGATGTTGGCTTTTCGCAGTGTTTCTTCCCATTGGTTTGCACCACTGGGCTAGTCGCGGCTCGCTTTTGCCGTTGTGCGGTTGGAGTGTCTATTATACTGTTATTTTTTTGTAGTCTTGATTGGTGTACACTACATATTTTCTCTGCTTCAGCTTTTACCCAACATAGCCGGTAATAACTTATGTCGTCGAAAAGCTCATCTAATGCAGCAACTGATTCTTTTATGTCATTCGCAATATTCCTCTGTCTAAGTTCAGTGTTTTTCATTTTATTAAGAACGGCTTTGCATTGCTCCAATGCTTCCGCCTCTTCCTTCTTCCTTTGTATTATGTATTCGCTCCTATGCGAGGGTGGTACATCATTTATGTTTTCTGGCACTTCAGGTGTCTCCATGTTCACTGCGGACATCCCTTTGTCATTATGTGTTGGCGTGTTCTCTGTTTGTTTTTTAATTTTGTGTTGTTTATTCATTTTTATTTGGGACCCAACTCCTTGCCGCTATCGATGTTCGATTGTACAGTCGCTTGTATCAAGACAAGCTACATTAAGCGTTAATCTTGGCGTTAATATTTACAAATGCGCTTTGGGTGTCGATGAATTGCAGTTCTTAGGTTTTCATTTGTCAGCAAGTGGCATGAATCCCCCAGCAGAGCATGTGGAAGCCATTCAAAATTATGTCCTACCTAAGACAGTTCATGAAATTCTTCAATTCTTTGGAGTTGTCAATTATTATCGTAAGTACATTCCTCGAGCAGCACAGTTACAAGCACCCCTAAGCAGCCAAGAAGAGAGATAAGTCTGGACAGCAGAACTTAACACACCGTTTGAAAATTGTAACGCGGGCATACCAACGTTAACGCAACTAGTATTCTTATCACCAACAGCACCTCTTCGCCTTTTAACCGATGCTTCCAGCACTGTAATAGGATCAGGTCTAGAGCAGCGAAACTATGACCAATCAAAACCAGTAGCATTCTTCTCCGCCAAGCTTAAATCGGCAGAAGTGAAGTACAGCACGTATGACAGAGAACTGCTAGCACTTTACGTATCTATAAAACATTTTCGTTATCTGCTTGAAGGGCGTTATTTCGTAATCCGCACCGACCATTAGCCGTTGACGTTCGTTTTTCAGCAAAAAGTCAATAAGGTGTCTCCTCGCCAATCACGCCATCTGAGCTACACAGCAGAATTCACGACCGAGATCGTACATTTGTCAGGTGAAAAGAAAGATCCGGAGGCCGCAGATTTGTTGCGCGGTACGAAGGGCGGCAAGGTCCGCAAGGGCCAGTCTGGGAAATAATGTCCCGGACTCCGCCACTTTCGCAAAACTCTTGGAGCCAGCTTCATTGCCTCCAAATCAACCTCCACCGGGCTATAGCAGCTTCATATAGGCTCAGTACCTTGGTGGAACAACACTGTCTAGATTTTGTGGCCATCCAAGAACCATAGGCCACAAAGGGGCGCATAAACGATCTACAGACAAAAACGTTAAGTTAATGTATGATAGTAATGTTGATCTAATTACATTTCAAATTGGCGGGTGTTGGAGGAAAACTCCTCATCAGATCACCGATATATACGCTTTGATTTGAAAGGGGAAGTTGAAGACACTTTCGAAACAAAAAATGTTAGGAAGACCAACTGGTCTCTATAAAACTTCTATATAGAACAAAACATTAGTTGTTTTGGGAATAGGATTACTAATTGTCAGGAACTAAATCTTAAGGTTAACAAACTTGAAAATATTATTACAGGGGCTTTTGAAAACAGCTGGGAACTTGTCAAAAAGAAACGTTGTAGAAACGTCCCATGTTGGAATAGGGAACTGAACATTTTGCGCAAAAAAGCCCGACAGCTCCTTAATAGAGCCAAGTCCAGAGGGGACTGGGCATCTTTTAAGACTGCCTTAACGGGTTACAGTAAGGAATTGAAAAAATCAAAGAAGGAATCATTGAGGAGGTACTGCGAGCAGTTTGAAATACTTCCCACGGCTGCGAGACTCGAGAAATCTCTAAACAAAGACCACTCAAATAGCCTCTCTACACTAAAGAAGGCTGACGGAAGCTTTACGGAAAGTCTGTAAGAAACGGGACAGCTTTTGCTGGACACTCATTTTGTAGGCTGTGCCATGTATACTGAGAGTATGGAAACCATCGATGATAATCGTTTTTTGTTGATTGCACGAAAATTTTCACAGTTAATAAAACTAAATGGACCATTTCCACTTTTAGCGCGTTTAAAGCATCTGGTATCGACAATATTCAACCGTGTCTTCTTCAAAAAGACGTTGATGTATTAGCACCGATATTAACAAACGTATTTAGGATAAGTCTAAAACTAGGAGTAATACCTAAACATTGGACGAAGGATAGGGTAGCTTTCATACCGAAAGCAGGCAATAAGGCAGATCACACGCCAAAAGCTTTCCGGCTCATTAGCCTTACTTCTTTCTTGCTTAAAGTAATGGAGAAGATTCTAAATCAATACATCAGGGAAGTCTACATTAAAGCTTCACCTCTACATATTGAACAGTATGCTTACCAGTCGGGCAAATCGACCGAGACCACTATACATAGTCTAACGAGTAAAATCGAGAAGGCTTTAGACGGTAAGGAAATAGCTCTCTGTACGTCGGTTGACATTACAGGAGCTTTTGATAAAGCAACATTCAGCTCAATTGAGGAAGGAATGTTCAAGAAAGAAATACATAGACTAATCATAACATGGATTCTCAATATGCTGAAAAATAGGACGATAATCTTTGAAATGGGGACGAAGAGATTAACTGTCAAGTAAACCAAAGTAAGCCCTCAAGGAGGCGTTCTATCGCCGCTTCTATGGCTATTGGTCATTGACGAACTCTTACAGTCTCTTGGTGACCTCGGATATGAAGTTCAGGCTGTACAGACTTTATGGTAAAACATGGGGTCTGCGACCAAAAATGATGGCTTGGTCATACAAGACCGTAACAGTACCAATGATCACCTATGCTTGCTTGGCATGGTGGCCAAAGGTAAATCACACGAAGGCTAAGATGACCCTCAATAAGACTCATCGAACAGTCTGTCTAAGCGTAACGGGAGCAATGAAAACGTGCCCCACAGAAGCCGTAGCAATGCTAATTGGACTCACTCCGTTACACATCACAGTTAAAAGGACTGCGACCAGTGCCGCACTAAGGCTTCCTTATCTAGGTAATCTTAAAGAGGGCAAAAAGATTTATTAATCCTGAACACATCAAAGTTGATGCTATCCTTGGCCTTAGCAGAAATTATATTAAAATCTACACTGAACTTCTTACAGGACACTGTAGACTTAATTACCACATAAAGATTATAGGTGCTGTAGAAAGTGACTCCTGTCGACTCTGTCATGAGGAGAAGGAAACATCAGAACATGTTTTATGTAACTGCCCAGCGGCGGCAAGACGTAGACTCGATTACCTTGGAAGCGGGATCCCAGTCCCAAATCAAATAGGTAAAATTAAGCCCACAGCAATTATAAGATTTATAAATAGTCTAAAATTGACATTTTGAAACCATGCAAGTATTCAGGCAAGATTCGCTACAATGTGATCTCTGAATTTTCTATGATTTTTTCTTGATGAACTGATCAAATTAGGGGAATACTAATCGCGCTTGATATATGAGACTGCAAAGGCCGCGTACGAAGTAGAGGCACCTGGATAGGAGTGTTGCTTCAGGCCAAAACCTAATAATCAATTAAATAATTGGGTTAATCTGGTCAATTAAGTATTGAACCAAGTTAGCAATGCCACATTTCCGAGGTTCTCTTACTCGAATTCATTCGAACTTAATTCAGAGCGACTGTCATCATCAAATTTTGTTTCGAATATAACATCAATACATTAAGTGGCTATAAGATTTTCCACTTGAATAATATAAAATATATTTAATTTTAAATATATTGAAAACGGAGTTTTAATTTTTCGTCATATCGTTGCTATACTTTAAGACAATGATGCCACCGTAAGCCAAAGATGGCTTACGAATCGAATGCATCAAATATATAAAAAATACAATATATTTGTTCTGAAAAATAATATATGTAAATATAATCTAATACATTTTTTGATCCAACATGTATCTAATTACATAATCATCGCTCTTCTGAATATTCCCAGAGAAGTTTCTTCCAAAAATGAGAATTCCCCTATTCAGAACTGCTAGGGAGACAGTTATTATGGGAACAACAAAAAATTTAAATTTGTTTGGTAACATTTACATTTTTAAATGTCAAAAAGTACAAAAATAAGAAGCAAATCAAACAAATGAAAAGAATTGTGCTTCATATGTTGATTTAAATTTAAAAATTTATTTTTTTTTTCTTATAAACAATAAAAGTAAAATATCTTATTTATTAATTGGAATTATTAATGTTTTAACTAAAGTTTGAGTTCTTCTATTTCGAAAAGTCGACAATTGTTTCTATAATTAGGATAAAAATGTCCTTCAATTAATGAACCGTAACAATAGTTTATGATGAGCGCAGATGTTGCAGGAAAAAATATTGCTTGAATACCTGCTCATAATTACAAAAGATTATTTTAACTTACTCAAGGTATCCTATTTATTGTAGAATGAGGGTTTCTTTCATTATTCTATTGTTTTAAATAACAATAGTTAACAATTTAATTTGTGGGGAAAACCAGTGTTCATAAAATAAATAAAAATAATAATAATAAATAAAAATACTAATAAATAAAAATACTAATAAATAAAAATAATAATAATAAATAAAAATAGTAATAAATAAAAATAATAATAATAAATAAAAATTTAAATATTTTAAATTTATTATAATAATAAATATTCGAAAAAATGATCAACCCATGTGCATAAAATAAATAAATAAAAACTTAATTATATTAAATTTATTATAATAATTTTAAAAAAATATATTTGAAAAAATGATTAACCCGTGTGGATAAAATAAAAATTGAAATATATTCACCCCTATTTTGAATCAAATGGGAGCAGGAGCGGGAGCTTTTCCTCTTTTCCCAGTTCCTCTATTCTGAATCTAATGCGAATGGGAGTTTTTTTTCCCTATTTTGCACCAAATTTTTCGCAAGTAAATTGTGTGGGAGATAAGTTAAAAAAATGTTGAATATAAAAAAGAGGTGAATATATTTAACATTTCGATCTTATATCAAAAATCTTAAAATTAAAGAACTTAAAGAATTTTGCATATTTTAGAATTAGGTATTATACAAATAAATTGAATAAATTAAGCAAATATGAACTACTAAAATTAGTCGTCTAATGAAATGCTGTCATATTTCAGGTTGTTGCAAGCTACATCAGGCTGCAACACATCCAACTGTGGACTAAAGGACTCTGGAGAAGGTGACGCAGCATATCTGGTTGAATTTACATGTATAACTTCAGGTGAAACAGTAGCGGAATAGTTCGACATACTGGAATTCCCTGATGAAACTGTTCGTATACGTGTCTGTTTTCGTTTAACTGTTTTGAATGTAGATTCATGCTTATTATATGGAGAAGTAGACAAAATTGTATCTATTGAATGTTCATCTACTTCAGATTCTAATTCATATTTCGGTATAGTATTTGTAGAAACTGTAAAACTTCGGATATTGGGACCCACTGACGAAATTGTTCTTACACCTGGTTGTTGATGTTCAATTACTTTATAGGAATATTCATTTAAGTTACCTAGCGTCGCTTGGTAAAGAACTTCATTGATCATTTTGTTGGCATATATTTGCTGATTGCGCTCCAAATTCCTGTACTGAACTTCCCAGGAAGTACTTAAAGCATTTGCTTCATCTAGTTTTATTTCTTTAGAGCTTGGCAGATGCGAAATAGCTTCTGATATAATCTCATTTCTTTCTTCGTTTTTTTTTCGTAAATGCCCATTGGATTGTGTCTAAAATAATTAAATAAGGAATTCTAATTAGATATAATTATGTACAGTTATATAAAATTGAAAAATAACACTAAAATATAAATAAATAAAATATAACAATACATGGAAATATATATTTTTAGCTTATTTATTGTGTATGGGGAACCTGTTTGCTTACCTGCTTAGAACTGTCATTTAATGCGTAGTCAATCGGTGGAGCTTTTTCCGGAATAGCCCTTAAGAACTTCAAAGAATTGAAATACCAAACATTGGAAACATACAGGTCATCACCTGTGGCACCAGACTTTTCACTTGCCTTTACTTTTTTAATTTCTCTGCGGTAGCCGGATCGTAGAGTATTAATCGATTTTTTAACTTCCTGCGCATCAGCATCCGGTTGAACTTCTCTTAATTTTTTAACTAAAATTGCTAAGCATTCATCCTTTCGTTTCCTATTGTGGTACTCCTTATCATCGACTTTCCATAATGCGGGCAAACTTTGATATAAATTTATAAATTCCTTCCAAAATTTAGTATCTATAAATGTTGATAAAACTTTTTGTTGTGTCGATTTTTTCTAAAATAATGGAATAATAACTAATTTTAATTGAATTTAATTATTTACGGTTAAATAAAATTGAAATAAAACACTAAAATCAAAATAAATAAAATATAACAATACATGAAATCATGTATTATTATTTTAACACCACTTTATTTGTTTTGTATTTGGAATTTATTTGCTTGCCTTCTTGAAACGGTCATTTAATTTGTGGCGAATAGATGAAGCTTTTTCCACTTGTCCTTTTAAGAAATTCAAATGATTGAAATACCAAACCGTGGGAACATACAGATCATCACCAGACTTTTCACTTGCCTCTATTTTTTTAATTTCTCTACGGAAACCGTTCCTTAGATTATTAATCTTACTTTTAACTTGTCTTGCATTAGCATTCGGTTGAATTTCTCTTAGTTTTTTAACTAAAACTGCTAGACATTCAATCCTTCGTCTCTTATTATAGTAGTCGCTATGACGGACTTTCCATAATGCGGGAAGACTTTGATATAAATTTATAAACTCCACCCAAAATTTAGTATGTGTAAATAGTACCATTAAGACTTCTTGTTTTATTCACAATGCTTGTAAACCTAGGAAAAAAAAAACATGCATTAGTTTACACTGTCGCACTTGCATTTATCTGGATAAATTAGTACAAATTAGTTGCACTATTAATACAAATCTCTATATAAAAATGTGCGATATAGTACTATACAACGCGAAAAATATTCTTTTTAACTGCTTTGAATTGGAGAATGTCGAATAAGTCACATTCATACGTACATGGTTTGATAAAGATAGAAAAACAAATTATTAGAAATGTTTAATAAAAAATACAATACTTCTTAGAGTAGATTTTTTTGAATATTATATATTATTTAATTTTAAGATTTTTTATTAACTTAATTACAAAAAATTTAATTTTTAACTCTATATTTTTTTATAGTTAAATATTATTAAATAAAGTATTAGTGTTGCTGTAAAGCTAGACTTACTTTGTATAGTGACAAAGAAGCTTTATTTATTCGAAAAACCTTGTTATTCGAAAATCCTTCTAAATATTATTAATCAATTTCGCAAAATTCTGTGGCTAGACTTCTATAACTATGATGTATGAACATAGTATTATTCAATTTTAAATAAATAAAGTTATATTTACAATTATTATTTAGTTAATACGTAATTCGAAAATAATTCTTATCTTGCTATTTAATAATCACTTAATATTTACTTCACTTCCAAACTTTTATTTACAGACAAAATACTTCATCGCAACGCTCACCAGTTAACATAAATATATAAACAAATTAAAGTTTACGAAGAGTCCTTTTATCAGAAGGATATTAACACATGATTATGAAAATGTAGCATTCATACGAAAATCAAAAAATTTTGATATCCATCATTCATAAGCACTACTCCTTCGATAGCTTGAGCGAATAACTACGTCAAACACGCTCGATACGTGTAGTCTTGCGAAATTTAATAGCGATAATAAGAGAAAGAAATTTAGAATTTTATAATACATGCAAAATATTATTTAAAATTTTTTAAATACTGAAAGAAATATTTTAAAATCTGCTATCATGTCAGAAACAAATTTACACTTACGAATTGTAACTCACAATTAATTAATATGTCTGAATTATATTTTGATTCCAAAATTTTAAATTAGATTCATATTGCAAGTTTTGGTTCAATTTATATAATTAAAATTTATAGAATTGAATATTAAATTTAAGTAGTAGATTTCAATTTAAGTAAATATTTATTGAATAATAATTTTATTTTCGTAACATCAAATACTGAGTATCCGCATTCAACTACTTGAAATATCTTAACTAGAATACTTTTGAAAAGTCAACATGTTTTTGACCTACTGTACAGAAATTATCAAATAATAATATAATGTTCTAGTTACAAATTCTTTGTAGAAAATTCTGCTCCTTTAATATATAAAGGTATGGTATTTCTTAAGGATCTTTAAGGTATGTTTCTGGTCAGATTGAGTGGGTATTTGTTTTTCTTCTGTGAATATTTCGGAGAAAAAACTTGCTGCAGAGGGTTGTGTGGCGGATATGGCAACCACAGAAAGCATGATGGCAATATTGTGGCATCACAATCTGAGGATGGTATGAAAACAGAACGCAATCAAGCATCGCTCTCTCTCTTCAGTCACTCTTTAAACTTCACAGTGTTCGGTTGATATTAAGTGTTAATAGTGCCTTAAGCATTTGTGTATAAGTGGAAAATATCCAAAGCGCCGTGAAGAGCGCCTTTATATTAACTTAAGTGTATTTTACCGAAGCGCCGAGAAAAGCGCCTTTATATCAAATTAAGTGAAATGTACCGAAGTGCCGAGAAAAGCCCTTTTAAATTCTTACTCGATTTGTTACGAAGCGCCGAGAAGAGCGCCTTATAATTTTTTAACTGTAATTCGCCGAAACGCCGAGAAAGGCGATTTATCATAATAAGTGCTATTACGCTGATATTTAGTCAGCATAATTTTTTTATCGAAAGTGACAATTTAACGAGTTAATAATTAGTATTGAAGTGTGAACTAGTAAAAAAAAGTGATTAGTACCTTGTTACTATTAATCAATTATCATATTTACAAATCGAAAGAAACGATTTATCAAGAAGTTTATCAAGGTTGTTTAATCGTTCTGAACGGTTGGAACGCGTCGTGACAGTTTCCAGACTTGAGCTTTTTTCAGAGTTGGATCTTTTACCTGTGAACCGTTAGAAGGTAATTTGTTCATCTTAATATTTAATTGCTTTTTATTTTACTTTCAGTTTTAAATTTTTAATTTCATATTAATTTAATTTCTATATTATATTTATTATTATTAAATTTGCCTCCCTCCTTGAGCAAATTTCTAAGCTCAACCCTTCTGGCCCGCTAGTGTTTCCAGTGCCGCTATCCCCTTACAATCCAATTCCGAGGTATCGCCATCAGCTTCTCTAAGCACACCCGTGCCTACCAAACGTCGCAAACTCGGACGCAATCTCCTAGGGCCCCAAGCCTCCTCTCACCTGGTCTCCACCCCTGCCGTCAATCAACCTGTCAGACGTCAGCCAAAAGCCCCCGCCCAGTGAATTCCTCGCCAAACTCTGCAAACCGTCCTGGCAATGTCAGCACGGCTAAAAAATATTCGTCTCCTCCGGCTATTGTCACCCGTGGAGCTAATATTAAACAGCTCACTAGATTCGACTGCTTATGACGTAAAGTGTCTTAACAGTCAAAGCTCGCATATCCTTGCCAAGGATAAAAAACTTTTTATAAAATCAACGAAATTCTCAAGGATCAGGGTATCTCTAGTTTTGCACCAATCCCTAAGGAAGACAGGATTGTTCCAATCCTCCTCAAACAGTTCCCTGCATCTTATGATGCAAACGACCTTAGCTCGGCCTTAACCATCGACCTTCCACATTTCAAATTCTCCAAAGTTTGTAAATTCATGCCACCAGCTAGGTTCATCAAACAAAATCCTAGCAGGTATGGAAACTCTAATATTTTCGAATTACATCCTGCTCCCGGGACTGACATCTCTGCCCTGTTGAGTACCATTCGGCTACCTTCACTTAACTTAATAGTTAAGTTTGAGCGCAAGATAAACAATGACATTCTTCAATGCACCAACTGCCAGCGGTATTTCCATACCGCTAAACTGTGCAATTTTCTATCTCGCTGTGTAAGATGTGGGGAGTCGCATGCTAAAGGACTGTACAAGATGCCCCTCGCACTGTGGATCCCGTCACTAACAAACATGACCCCTCCACATTGCCAAAATGCTGTAACTGCGGAGTCACAGGACATCCAACGAATTTCCGTTGCTCCAAATTGAAGGAGATTCATAGAGCGCGCACGTCTAACCAAGACCAATTCTATGGCATCTTCTCTCATCTCGCATTTCGCCATCAATTTTGTCGTCCCTGGTAAGTTATTTGCATCGGTTGCCAGGGCAAGCTTGACTTCTCCCCCCAAATAAGCTCAAACTTTCCCTGCCTGTAGCCCTCCTACACCTGTCCATCCTGTTGTTACTTCTTCCCTTCTCCCTGATCTAAAGGCTATGTTCTCACTCACAGCCCAGATCAAACAGGAATATCTTCATCTCAGTAACCCGGAGGCTCGGAAGGGATTCCTCCTTCAGAAGGTCTTTGAGTTCATACTTGATGGTTAACCTAAAGATTATACTTATTAATGTGAACTCAATCCGCTTGCAGGTCAGAAGGTCCTTTCTCCAAGACTTAACAAAATTCGTTTCTACGACTGAATAAGTAAAGAGATACAAAAAACCAAATTTTGCACACATAATTTTTTTTTAATCGGAATTGGTGGCGACTCAGCACCTACTCAAGCCGAACAGGGACAGAGCGTGGAAGCGTTAGGCGTGGTCAAGTTACCACCTTTCTTTCACTTTGATCCCGAATTATGGTTTACTCAAATCGACGGGTTACTGCATGTCAATAGAATAAGGTCAGACGTCTCCAAATACTACACTGTTATTACGGCACTCGACGCAAATTTTCTTGGCCAGATAGCAGACATCGCAAAGAAGCCTCCAGTGTTCGATAAATATACAACATTAAAAGAAGAATTAATCCGGAGCTTTGGTGAGTCAAAGCAAAAGCAACTCATTAACTTAGAGCTGTCAGACAAGCGACCGTTACAATTGCTTCGTGACATGCGCAATTTAGCTGGTACCAACATTTCTGAAGATGTACTTTCAACTCTTTGGTCACAACATTTGCCCAGCAAAATTAGATGCATTTTGTATGCATGCAACGCTGGAGATTTAGAAAGCATGGCTGACCGTAATATTGACAATTTACCAACACCACAATACGTTATGGCTGAAACTTCAACAACTGGCACTCATTATAATCAATCGTCATCGCCGTTAAAAGCCTGAGTACTGGCATTAGAGACAGCAATACAGCAAATTATATGCAGCTTGGGTGAATTAACGACGCAATAAAAATCCAGCAGTCGTGTTAGAAGTGCGGTCCATCGTCACGAAAAAAGAGTTCGCAGACAGAGCAATGTTAGAAACAAAGTATGCAGTTACCATATACGATTTGGGTCCAGGGCACTCCACCATGTGAATTTAGCAAGGTGGCTGGAAATCAGAGCTCAACACCAACAGAGGAAAACTAAGAGAGATCATATATGATCTCATATTAGACATAAAGAAGAAAAAGCTAATTGATCCGCTAACAACGTTAAATGTGACAGGTGTGATCAAAAATGTCACCATGCACTCGATCTGAATCACCGTATAGTAATCGATAGCCGAGAAGCCGAGGCGTTATGCAGGTGAGAAACCAACAGCTATGCTCGAACAAGGAATAGTGCGACCATCTGATAGTCATTGGTCCAGTCCCGTTCATCTAGTGAAAAAGAAAGCCGGCGGTTGGAGAGCGTGTGGCTATATGCAAATACTAAACCAGACAAATATCCAATACCGTTCCTGAATCAAATTTCTGAGAGACTTTTTGGAACCTGTAAATTCTCAAAAATCGATATCAACAAAGCGTATTATAATATACTCAATATACTAACCGCCTCAGAAGACATCTGTAAAACTGCAGTAAGCACTCCACTAGGCATGTTCGAATTCATTGTTATGCCATTTGGTCTCAAAAACGCGATACAAACGTTTCAAAGACATATGGATTCCTTATTCTGTCATATTCGAAACATGACAGAACATGAAAAACACATAGAAATCGTGCTAGACAAGCTACATTTTTTTTTTTTTTTTTGTGGTGAGGAGGTGGAATGCTTTATGCACCGTCAAACCGACCGTCGTCGGAATGGTGTGCCCGACTCCCTAACATTAATATGTAGTATACGGACTAAAACACCCCCTCTTCAGCGAGACTTATTCCCCCTCGGAACCGCTTTCGCATTACTTCGAGGAGGGTCTCTTTTATGTTGACATTTCAAGCCATGCTCTTTTGATTTTCGATCTGCGTCCAGACCACCACTTTTCACCGCATTTTCTTGGTGTCCATTCTATTTATTATATTTCTTATTCTAGTTTCTAGTTCTCCTTTCTAGATCTAATTTCTTCGTTTTGAGAACTTGAATCACATATGACTCTATCGTTCGCCAACTCTCTGAGTTCGCTTTCATCTTTTCCACTATATTTTCGGGACTTATATGTCCAATGTGCGCTATTATCTCTTCTCTATTTGTGAGCCATCTGTTACAGTAAAAGAAGGTGTGCTCTGCGTCGTCACAGTCCCCATCACCATAAATGCGGTCGGGCAAATCCATTTTTCCCATACGGTACAGGTACTTACAAAAGTATCTATGTCCGGTCAGCATCTGAGTGAGATAGTAATTTGTGTCTCCCGATTTCCGTTTGAGCCAAGTGGTTATATTTGGTATCAATCTAGCTGTCCATCTTCCTTTCGTGCTATTGTTCCATCTTTGTTGCCACATTTCGATGGTTTGGTCCTGATCTTCTCTTGCCATTTGTTGAGTATAATCGCCGTTTGTTTTCCTGTTGTATACTCTTT